TGGTATACATGTAGCAGTCAAGATGACAGCTCGGGAGAATTGATTTTCTCTCTTTAACTCTGTGGATCCTGGGGATCAAACTCAGGTTGTAAGGCATGGTGACAAGGGCCTTTACCCACTGAGCCAAGTTTTGGGAGAAATATATTGTCAGGACTTAAAATTTCTGCCTTGCACCTTAGCAATAAGGAGAAATAACTGGCTAAGGAGGCTGACGTTGGTGTCTGTTGTAATTTAATGCCAGTCTTTTCTAAGTCTATGAATTTGTCCTGACTCTTACTTCCAGCCCTAGGAGTGTCTAGGCATCACTAATGCTTCTTGGTTATAGGCTTATCTGCCTTTTTGGTTGTAAGCCTGAGCCTTAATGGCTGCACCAGCTCTCCAGCCCTGTAGGCTTATCTGTATGATGAGAGTTAAGCCAGATCTCTTAAATACTTTGCCATTCTAAAATTCTATAATTCTGTGTTGTAATTTTTAACCAGGTATCAAGTATAAAGTGAGAATGAGTAACATAGGTTCTAGTACATATTTGGTGACTTGCAGCTATTTTCAGTTATCAAAACATTTTCCCAATTAAAGAGTTTTCTATGTTTGTTTTTATCTAGATAATAAAAGTAGTGATCAACCTGAAACTTTGACTTATTTGACTAAACCCTGCTTTTGGCTATTTCTGCAGGCCCCGGCTAGTAGAGAAAATTTCATGTGCTAGTAATTGTACATTGTCCCTCATTTAGAATCATCTTATGATGACCTCCTAGAAACTAGATTTTTTCTGGGAAAACTAATACTGGGGGGGGGGGTGAGGGCGGAGTAACTGCTACTAATAAGCCTGTAATAAAAGCTAGATTAATTAAAGTATGGATGTGATACTTTGAGAGTTGATAGAGTTCAGAGAGGACTTCTTTACCATCGTCTCATGGATTATTACCCATAGAAGAATTTCTTCTAAAACTTTCAGCCTACATTCAAAACAGACAAAACTGGAAATATAGCTTCCCAAGGCAACTCATCCAGTTGTAGAATTCCTATCTCGTGGACGCTGTTTCACTGAAACTCTTTCTGTGTGCCTCCTTAGGACAGCCTGTCCATCTTCTCTTCTAGTGTTGTTTTTTCCCAGCGCTCTAGCTCCCTCTTCTGTCCCATTCATACTCATTAGCCTTCCCTCCTCTCCTTCACAGTGCCTAGCTCATGTCTTTCTCAGTCCCTTCTTCACAGGTAAATAGAAACTAAAAGCACAAATCAATAGCAAAATGACTTCTTTACTCCTGTTTTTCCTGCTTTTATTTTAAAGCACAGTATTTGAGACAATTAAACCCATAGCTATTTCTGTACAATCATAACCAGTACATAAAACTGCTGCTGCTGGTAACCCATCACCCATTTGGAATCATCTCATTCTCAATATAATTTGAAAATTACTCTTAACTGAAGTCAAAGGCTAAACTGTTCTTTTCACAAAATACTATTGGTAGGTTAGTGATTTATAAATATATAATTATGATTGATTTTCCTTAGTGTTTCTTCATTGCTCAGCCCCTTTCTAATCTTCATTGACCGAAACCAGACACATCACAATCTCTGATTCTGTAGAATCAATTGGTTATTAGAGCATACTTAACATTGATTGTATATGGAACATAAATTGTTTTTCTGATTCATATGCATCCATAACCTTTTCAGTCTGGGACTTCAATATAATTTTAACTATGAGTGCTTCAATTAAAAGGGATGTGCTAAAATTTAGTCAATATTTAATCTGCTAACAAAAATAGTTTAAATCTATCTGCTAGAGAAACACTAAGAAATATTGAAAGAGTTAGTGTTAGATTTTATTTTGTCTGGAAGTAACTAAGGCAGTTGTCATTTTCATACAAATAACAATATTTTTAATTAAAACACAGCTGCAGGCACTGGAGAGATGGCTCAGAGGTTAAGAGCACTGTTTGTAACTCTGGTTCCAGGGAATCTGACACCCTCTTCTGTCCTCTGCAGGCACTACATGACACAGGTACACTTACATACATACAGGCATAACACTCACACACATAAAATAAAAGGGGGGGGCGTAGCTGCACCTTCTAACTAAATTTAACCTTAGGGCTGGGTATAGCTCAGTTGTAGAGTTGCATACTTCGTATGTACCAAGGCCCTGGGTTTGGTGCCTAGCATGATGAAGTTGTTAAAAGGAAAGGAAAAAATGTGATCTTAATGGATAAGTGAGACCTGTTGAGCTCTTGTTTTGAAGGTCAGGACACCCTTCTCTAATAACTGTGTTTAGATTTTAAAACAAGATCTCTGTTGCCAAGCTGGCCTCAAACTCATGTTTCTCCTGCTTCTTCCAAATGCCAGAATTAGTCATGTGCCGCCCTGCTTGGTCTAGATCTCAGAAATTAAAATCAGAATATGATTTTTTGGTTAAATTTGTTTTAGAAAATGACACAATGGAAAAATTACTTGATGCTATTAGAACACAATTTAAAGAAATTGTACAGATAATTGTAGTTAGTCCCAACTGCTGGCATGTTACAGAATTGACTTAAGAATAAGAATGTGTAGGTCAAATATGACAATGGCTTGGACTACAGGGAAAGTGATAGAAGAATTCAGAAGTGCTGAAATTAAGGATATATTGGGGCTAGAGAGATGTCTCAGTGGTTAAGAGCACTGGCTACTCTCCCAGAGGACACAGGTTCCCAGCACCCATATGGCAGCTAACAATTGTCCATAACCCCAGTGCCAAGGAATCTGGCATCCTCTTGGCCTCCACAGGCACTGCATATACATGGTACACTTATATATATGCAGGCCAAACACTTGAACACACAAAATAAAAATTTCAAATTAAGGATATATTTAAAGGTGAACCATCAGAATTTGTTGTTGGGTGGAGGAGAAAGAAATATAAATGCTAACCTCAAGGCTTTCTGTCTAAACAACTGGTAAAATGGAATTGTCATTAACTAACAGAGGAAAACTTGTATTGGAGGAACCAGGTTCTGATGTTTGTTCTTAGCCAACATTTGGAGGCACTGAAGAAAGTTTAAAACATTAGAATTTGTGAAAGTGTCTGAAAGACATCATGTGGGAGCTGGTGAGATAGCTCAGTGATTAAAGGCACTTGTTGCCAAGCTTGATTACTTGAGTTTGATCCCCAAAACTACATGATGGAAGGAGAGAACCAGCTCCCATATATTGTCCTCCAACCTCCACTTGCACACTATGGCACACACAGTAATTAAAGAAGCTGGAGAGGGGCTGGAGAAATGGCACAGTGGTTAAGAGCACACTGGCTGCTCTTGCAGAGGACCCAAGTTTGATTCCCAGCATCCACATGGCAGCTAACAACCATCTGTAACTCCAGTTCTGGAGGAAACGGACCCTTCTTCTGACCTTCAAGGGGATTACACAGAATGGGTGCACTTATACACGTGTAGGCAATACACTCATACACATAAAATTTTAAATAAAATGAAATTTTTTTTTTTTAAAGCCTAGATGCCGGGTCTGGTGGCACACGCCTTTAATCCCAGCACTTGGGAGGCAGAGGCAGGTGGATCTTTGTGAGTTCGAGGCCAGCCTGGTATACATAGTGAGTTCCAGGACAACTGGGGCTACAAGGAGACCCTGTCTCAAAAAAAGACCAAAAAAAAAAAAAAAGAGTCTAGAGAGATGGCTCACCACTATTGTTCTTCCAGAGGACATGGGTTCAGTTCCTGGCACCAATGTCAGGCGGCTCACAACCACCTGCAACTCCTGCTTCAGGAGAGCTGATGCCTCTGGCATCTACAGGCACCCACACAAGGTATGAATGCACTCCCACCACAAGCACACACACAAAGATAAAATCTTTAAATTATAAATGAAATTTTTTAAAAAATATGTTGTACATGAATCAAAAGATCACTATATTATCTAAAAACTTTATATTACCAGATAATTACATGATACTTTAGTTAATAGATGCTTTCTAGTAATTTGCCATAGATGTTCATCCTGTAGTGAATCTTGAAACGCTCAATGTTTATAATTGTTAAGTCTTTTAAAGAAAGCCAGGCATGGTGGCACACGCCTGTAGTCCCAGCATTTAGGAGGCAGAGGCAGGTGGATCTCTGTGAGTTCAAGGCCAGCCTGGTCTACATAGTGAGTTCCAGGACAGCTGGGGCTACAGGGAGACCCTGCTTCAAAAAGATTAAAAATAAAAAAAATAGGAAAAGAAAACATGAGGTCCCACTGTGTAGCTCTGACAGGCCTGGAACCTGCTGTGTAGATCAGACTGGCCTCAAACTCACAGAGATCCTCTGCCTCCTGAGTGCTGGGACTAAAAGTATATACCACCACAACTGGCTTATAATTGTTAAGCCTCTTAATTGTTAAATACTGTTATAAAGATACTTAGAGGTATTAATAAGTGCACCGATTTTTATTTTTACTTAATAAGATACTATTACTAATGATACAAAACTAATTCTGGATTTCATTTCTTGAGATTTCTGGTTTAATATTCAGCTGGAAGAGATGGAATACATTATTATTTTTCAGTTACATAGTTAACAGCCAATATATAAATAAATGCTTCTGTGATTCAGTTTCCTTAGATATAAAGTGGGGGAAATAACAGTACCTATGTAGGTGTTGAGAGTCATTTAGTTATTCATGGAGAATGCTTAAAACAGTGCCTTGTATATAGCTGTTGCTCAGTAAATGTCAACTAAAAGGAGAAGTTTTTTTTCTAAGGTGTAGTGATAAAGTTAGACCTCTAATTCTAAAAATAAAGCCATAAATTTTCTTTCGTATATGGTATATGTTTATATAATACCCTTCTGAATATAAAACTTTTCATTCTAGATTTTTACAAAATATGCTATACATAATTGTAATTGTTTTATCTGTGAAGATATTGGTTGAAAAGTTTTTTGGCTATGAATATTTCTTATATGATAGTGTGTCATTTTGGATTTCAAACCACTTGTCTTGACCACCAAATTATGATTTTGTCATTGCAGGCAAGAAGACAACAAGACCCTAGTCCCGGCTCCAATTTAGGTGGTGGTGATGATCTCAAACTTCGTTAATAGTAGTCCAGCACATGTGCCCGCCATCTTTACATACACTTTGCTTCTAGTTGGCAGAAACAATTCATTCTAAGACCAGAAACTGTGATAACTGGAGATACCGCAGTACATGTTACAGCCTAAGGCAGTAAAGACATCACCAGCTGCCCTGGCTTTGCACTATGATGCCCGAATTTTCTGATTTTTAAAACGTAGCCAGTAATAATTTGAAATTTTTTTCTATGCAAGCTTACCTTGTTGGCATTATCTTAGTGGGTTGAAGCTACTCGTAAAGCCTATTCTCCTTTTAATTTAAAAGTTTGTGTCATTTAAAAACAAATTAAGAAATTCAAAATTTGTATCAGAGGGTTTTCTTAAAATCAGTTGCATAAAACATTTTTTTGTACTCAGAGATGTGTTGGTTATGCAGTTCTGTTTTGGGTATCTTTTTTAGATAAGCATTCTTGGTTTTTGTTTTCTCCATTTCCTTTTGTGTTTTTGTAGCATTTTTAAAATGTGGTATGTTTGCATTTTTTTACAACCTTAAAACCTAGTATAGCATAGAGCTGTCTGCCACAGCCTTCTAATAAAAGTTTACACTTGTTAAAGTCACAGTATCCTTTTAAATGCTAATAATAACCCTTTCCTTTTTAAACGTAAAAATTTTACCTTGGTATTAACTCTTAATTTGCCTTGGATCTGTTTTAAATTATGTTCTGTAATTATGAGTTTGGGTGGAGAAATTCTCCTTAGATGATAATGTTTTACTGAAATGCCTAAAGAAGTCACAAACTGGCTTCTGTTTTATTCAGGGATTTTTTTTTTTTTAAGTCAATCACAAAAAGGGATACTGGAACTTCTTGTATGTAACAGCATATTAAACTGGAGGCAGTGATGAATCAGCTACAAAGGTAAATTGTATTAAAATCATGTTTAAGATAGCTGCTTTTATGTGTATTTTATATTGCATGCTTTTGTAGAAACTATTGGTTGATGAAGATTAGTCTTAGAAAATGTTCATCTGTGCAGAAGATACATTTTCTTCTGTTGATTCTGGGTAAAACATTCACAGTTATATATGAGATTTTTATTAATTGCGCCTTTTGAGATGAATTAGTGTAAGAATATTTTTTAAATAGGCTTAGTGTCAACTTGCAATTTTTTTAAGATGAAACTGGAAAAAGTGCTAAGTCATTTGGCACATGCTTACAGATATTGTCATGGTCATAGTCATTAGATGTTACTGCATTGCTGAAATTTTTGCAAAAATGTATTTTATCATATAGAATGGCATTATTTTAGAGAATTTGAAAAACTGACATGGTCAATTCAGAAATGAAGTCTGAATAAGGTCATTGCATTTAAAAAGCATATAAACTACTTGATTGATGAAGGAGGCGTGTCTTTCATTGTATATAAGTCTTATAACCATAAACAGCCTGTATCTCAGAATAAAAATATTTGTTATATATTTGAAGTTGTGCATGGTAAAGAGTGTGTTTGAATTCTTATAAACAATAATGTGTTACAAAAGACCATGCTCATTTTGTGGAACTAAGTTCTATGAATGAATTTGGTTGGTATTTGGTGTTGTATAGCTCACATGTTTACACTCTTGGTGCCCTAATTTCCTCTGGGGGAATCACCTTTTAAGTGATCCTTACAGTGATGGTTTAAGGTACTTTATCATGGCGCACCTTTGTTTTTGACTTCTGTGCTTAATTCTTTTTTTAAAATAACATGATGATGGTACATTTTTCTCTGTTGCTTCTAGCCAAAGGCTTTCAGTCCACCAATAAATAAGATTGTGTGGTGTTAAATGTTCTCGTGGCCATCCTTGTGTAAATAGTGAGAGCTCATCAGTTAGCACTGCTCTGTCTTAATGCTGGCATTAAGATCATGCACTTCTTTTCTCCAGTAGTGCAGACTTTGAATCTACTTTAAGTTATTGATGCAGTTTGATATTTTTTCATAATCTATATTTAAAATTGCATCATTGCATCATCTTTTCTAAATTCATCTCCATTAAAACTTGCCTTAAACTACCAGATTGCTTTTGCTGCCATTAGCCATACTGTATATTTGTATGTTTAATTTACTTCACAATAAAATTCTGTGTAGTGGAAACAAAGTCGTGGCTCTTTATTGATATAATGTGATCACCTGTATCCTACTAGCTATGACATGAAAATTATTTATACACTTCTTTGATCTTGTCTACATTTTTTTAAAGAAAGCAACAACAGTGACATCTAGTGGTCATAACTCCAAAGAAGCCTTTTTAAATGTATAGCTCACAATATCCAGTGATTTTTTTTTAGTAAATGTTAATGGCTTTCAAAAAGTCTGAGGGAGCTGGAGAGATGGCTCTGTAGTTAAGAGCACTGACTGCTCTTACAGAGGACCCGGGTTCGATTCCCAGCACCCACATGGTAGCTAACAACTGTCTATAACTCCAGTTCCAAGAGAATTCGACACACTACTTTTGACCTCCATGGGCTTTGCACAGCATGGGTGCACTTACATTCAGGCAATACACTCATACACAAAAAAATAAATAAAATATTTTTTTTTAAAGTCTGATTGAAGCCAGGTATGGTTGTACATGCCTGTAATCCAAGCACTTGGGAAGTGGAAGCAAGAGCATCAGGAGTTGAAGGTCATCCTTGGCTACATAAAGAGCTCAAAACTAGAATGGGCTATATGAGACCTTGTCTCAAAAAAAACCCCCAAAGAATCCAAAATGGGGGCTGCAGAGATGGCTTAGGAGTTAAGTGCACTGACTGCTCTTGCAGAGGATCCAGGTTTGATTCCTAGCACCCACATGGTGGCTAACAACCATCCGTAACTCCAGTTCCAGGGAAATCCACCGCTGCCACCTGACCTCTGCAGGCATTGTATGACACAGGTGCGCTTAACACACATGCAGGCCATACACTCATACCAGAAAACTAAAATTTTTTAAAAAAGGAAAAATGAGGCTGGGGAAGTGGTTCCGCTTGCTGCTTCTGTGGAAGATGAGAGTTTGAGTCTTAGTACTGCAGTGGTTGCCTCACAACCACCTATAACTCCAGCTCCAGGATCCAACACCATCTTCTGGCCTCTGGGTATCACATGCACATATAAAGCACATAAAAAAAAATAAATCTTTTTTAAAAACCAGGCTTACTTGGGGCTGAAGAGATGGCTCAGTGGTCTAGAGTACTGGCTGCTCTTGCAGAGGACAGTTCAGTTCCCAGCACCCACATGGCACCTAACAGCCATCAACAACTCAAGTTCCAGGGGATCCGACACCCTCTTCAGCCTCTACAGGCATTACGCAACACAGGTGCACTTACATATGTGCAGGCAAAACACTCATAGACATAAAAAAATAAATATTGAAAAACCAGGCTCATATCTGTATTCCAACATCTGAGGCAACAGGAAGACCCTGTCTCAAAACATAAACCTGTACATCAAAAATATTACTGAGTCAGGCCTGGTGGCTAATGCTTTTAATCCCAGCACTCCAGAGGTAGAGGCAGGCAGATCTCTGTGAGGTCTACATAGTTCCAGTCCAGCTGGGGCTACAGGGAGACCCTGACTCAAAAAGACCAAAAAGAAAAAATAAATAACATAGTACCATCTCAAAGGCTGGTTTCAGGATTTACACATGTAGGTATTAAATCCAACATTCCTAGAATATATCCTGGAATTTTCCTACACCAGAAAATTAAGCCTTTTACTTTAGAAGTATGCCTTAAATTTGCTCTACAATAAATTTGCTTTTTCATCACCAAATTTCATATAAATGACCAAATACCTTGAATGCTAAATTGATACCATTAAGGAAGTTCCAGCCAAAACTGGGAAGACTGAGGTAGGATTATGAACTCAAGGCCAGCCTGAGATAGACCCTATTTAAAGAAAGGAATATGAAGGAACATTAATTTTTACTATATTAAAACAATATTTAACCTATCAACCAGAATATTTTAAATTGCATATATTGACTGTCATCAAGATTTTAAGTGAGTAAAGGACATAAATTATAAAATCGCAGGAAGAAATACTAATGGAAAATGTTGACATTCTGTTACTGGTGAATTGTTTTTTGAGACGGTCTACTCTGTAGCCTAGGCTGGCCTTGATCTCACAGAGATCTACCTTCCTCTGCCTCCCAAGTGCTAGGATTAAAGGCATGCTTTACCACACCGAGCTGTTACTGGTTTTTAAAGTGATTACAACAAAATATAATTCTTAACCCACTAGAACCATTTATGGGAAATGATAGTTTCTGCTCTCAAGGAACCTAGTCTGTCCCCCAAACTAACCCTAAGCAATAGCAACCGTTTTTAATAAAGTTACATAGGACATACTACTAGTTATAGTACATCTGGTCTGGATGATCAAAACAGCCTAAACTGGGGAGATATTTGAACTGAAAACAGATGTTGAAAGTGCCGGTAGCCAGCTACTTATATTGGCAAGTTTGGAAGGGGCTGCAGAGGCTTGAGTGGATGATACATGCAGTGCTGGACCGGCTTTGTCCGCTTTGTGGAAACCTTTGGATGACTGTTGAGGAAGAACAGGAAGCCATTGAGGGTTAGGAATTTAATGGGATGGGTGCTTGAGTGAAGAGAACAAGACCAGAGGCAGAATTTTTTTTTAACTTTTTTTTTTTAACAAGAGCATAGGATAGGGGTTTATTTGCAGAAGAGTGGGTGCCCCACATTTACAGCTGGACTGTAATGAGTGTGTATTTAAGTCCACACTCAAGTACAGATCTGTGACCTGACAGCCCCACAAAATGGTGAGAGAAGTGCCTCTTGGTGTTCTTGTCTTATATATCCTTTGCCCCTCCTGCCACATGCAGCTAAGATTGATTGGGTGGGAGGGGTAACCTTCCCCCCTCGACTCCTTGATGAGCATGGGAAGGAGGTGTGACTGTAGCTTGCCAGCATAGTGGTTGGAGGACATTTCCAATTAACACTCCACCCCTTCCTCTAGCTCTTACATTCTTGCCATCAAACTCTTCCTCAAAAGTTCCTGTGCCTTGGAGGGGGTGGTAGGTGTAGGATGATCTTCAGTTGTGGCAAGGCACTGAACTTTGTTTTCCATGGCCTATTGGAAACTGAGATTCCATCTACTTTAAAAATACAGCAAGAAGCAAGAACATCTAAACAGTGACTGCTATAATAACCTATGGGTGTAAACAAATGCTTGGTGGTTACTTTAGCAGGTGTATCATTTCCATCCAACAAAGCAATTGCTGTGACTTCCAGCTAGGGCCTATATTCTCCCCTGCTATAGGGGGTTGGCCAGGTCTACAGTACCAGATGTGTGTTCCACCCCAGGAGCAGACATTATATCCAATTGAAAATTTTCCGGTTGTACATACATTAGATACTCCACTATTGGACCAGCAGGAACATCTTGTTTGGTATGTTGATAGTGCAACACGCAGGGGTCTGTTGAGCAGAATTATAGGGGACAATTCTCCCCCAGTCATCTGCATATCACCTTTTGGCAACCTGAAAGCCACCCATCCAGTGTCAGGGAGTTTCCACCTTAGTCCAAGCTTGATTTCTCCCTCCCCTGAGCTCACATCATGCAGTATCTTAAGCAATAGGGTTTTTCTGTCCACAGAAGCAGAAATTTTTGTCTCGTTAGCCATATGATAGAAAGTTGTAAGAGTTAGCTTAGTAGGCATGGAGACTAAAACTAAGGGAAAAGTACAGGAGACTTGATTGAATTTTTTGTCAGTTTTATCTGGTAAAAAACTAGTCCATTTTGTTACCTTAACACATACAAAAAAGTATTAGATTGGAGATTTATGTCTTGAACTAAGGGTTGTGGTTGATCTAGCCTTACAGAACACAACTGGAACACTGCCAGCCATTGAGACAGAACCAAGAAAGGAGATAGTATCATAAAGAGGATACTGGCTTTGGAAACACCTGAAGCTGACATCATTTGTCTTTGTTTTCATTGGACCAAGCTAGTCAGCAACACCCATCTCCAGATGTGTAGGGAATTGCAGGCCTAGTTTTTGCCCAAAAGAATCCAAATGTTTGTGACTATCTCAACTACAAATGCCACTCTATTAAATACTTTGGGTTAGGGATATAACTATTTTAGAGCACTTGCCTAGTATGTGCAAGACAGAGTTGGATCCCCAGTACCACAAGAAAAGAGAAAAAAAAGGTATTGACATGTCACTGGGGAGACCTTTAGAGGAATCTCTGCCCTGAGCATGGGAGGGGGACTCCTTTGCCTTTCAAGCCTGTTAATTTCTTACCTCCAAAGTTAGGAGTCTTACCAGAAATGTTAGCATCCTTCCAGCCTCCACACACTGTTCCTCCAGCTCCTTTCCACAGTGGCGCCAGCCAGCTGCCTGAACTGGGAAATTGGGTCTTGATATTTTTTTTTCCCCTTAACTTTTAAAAGAGATTTTTAATTTATGGTCTTTATTCTTTTTTAAAAATTTTACGTGTATGAGCCTTTTGCCTGCAAGTGTGTGCAGTGCATACAGAAGCCAGAGAGGTGTCACCTGGAATGACTTAGCTGCCATGTGGGTGCTGGAAACAGAACCCAGGTCCTCTGCAAGAGGAGCCAGTGCTCTCTTAACCACTGAGCTACCTCTCTGCCCCATGGTCTTTATCCATGACTTCACTTCCTACATTCAATCCATAAGTCCTGTCAATGGATTCTATCATGTCTCTGATATTTAATCTTTTTAGTTACAACTCATTTGTGACCAAGCAGGTGGGGGGCAGGGACAGGCGGATCTCTTGAGTTCAAGGCCAGCTGGGGCTACAGGGAGACCCTGTCTCAAAAAGACAAAAAAAAAAATGTTTATATATATTGTCACTTGTAAAAAGTGTAAACCCACCAACAATCTATGAGGTAGATAGGGCCATTTTACAAATGAGAAAATAGGCATAGGAAGTTAACAGCCCAAGACACAAAGCTACTGAGTGACAGAACTAGAATTTAAAGTTTTCAGTCTGTGAGCTTAATTAGCTACAGTGCTTTGACCTGAGGGGGTCCCTGGATGTCCTGTTTGTACTGCCATGATTGTCTTCCTCAATGCACTCTTCGTTGAGAATTTATTTTTGAACATCCCTTAGTTTAGGAGAATGGTCATTTGAAGGTGTAGTTCAGCTACTTCCCCTATAACATCCAGGCTTTTGGGGGTAGTATTTAATCGGTTGGTTTATTAGCTTATTGAGACAGGGTCCATGTAGCCCATACTGGTCTGGAATTCACCCCTACTTCCATCACTCTTCTACTCAAAGCTGTCATTCTCATCTAAGACAGAAATCTGTATGGCTGACATTTAAATGAGTGTGTGTGTGTGTGTGTGTGTGTGTGTGTGTGTGTGTGTCTGACCAACAGAAACCTACTTCTCCAAGAGAATTTCTTTGGAGCTTCTTCAGCCTTTTTCTTGGTTTTCTGGTTTGGGAACTCACTATTTAGACCAGGCTGGCCTGGAACACACAGAGATCCACCTGCCTCTCCTTCCCCAGTGCTGGGATTAAAGGCCTGTGCCACCGCGACCGGCCTCCAAGTGTTTTTTAAACAAGCATTCCCAGTCTGGCTGGATTAGGATTCAATTTAGACAGTTTTGGGGTTTTGTTTGTTTGGGGACAGGATCTCAAGTCTCAAGCTGGCCTCGAACTCATTTTATAGCCTAGCATGGCCTTGAACTCCTGATCCTCCTGCCTTCATCTCCCTAGTGCTGGTATTACTGAGAGGCCACCACACCCAGTTTCTAACATAACACACATCAGAGTTTATTTTGCCCCTTCTCTACTGGGCTTCCCAGTGATCTAGTTCTGTTGTTTTGGCATACAGGGATGCTGCTACAGAAGACAGCCTATTTTTGAATGCCAATAGCAGTAACTTCAAATTTTGATGAAACTTCCGGTGTTACACTCCTGGAAAGCCTGTCTCTCCTGCTAAAATCTGTCACTGGGAAACAATGTAATGGAAATTGGGCTCTGTTGCCTAGGGAGCAAGGAACCTTGGGTAAAGTCTACCTTCTCTGGGCCTCGTTTTGCCTATAAAATGAGATTGACGCTGCCAAGCCTTTGTCATCAGAAGAGGCTGCGTTTTAATTTCAGGGTGCCTTAGAGCAGGTAACAGGAAGGGCAGGCTGAATTTGCTCGGGTGAATTCACAGATGAGCAAACTGAGGAACAGAAGGCTAAGGATTTGGTCAAGACCATAAAGCATTAGCATCTAAACCGGAGGCAGCCTGTCCTTGGGATACACGCCCCAGGGTGGCTAAGCACTTCTGGATCGCTTCTGGAAGAGAGACCTGCCCCAGAACCCTTCACCTTTCTACTCAATCCTCTCTCTCGACCAACTTCCTCCCCCTCGTCCGGGCTCCCGCCCCCACGCATTCGCTTTCGGGGGACCACTGCTCTGGGACATAACTCTCAGGGAAGAATTTCTGCACAACTACAGACAGCTGCTGCCGGCATGAGTGTGGTGACAACCGGGATGGGATTGAGGGCGCCCGCAGACCTTGGGACTCTTTACTGTCTCCTGAGCCTAAGATGATGATGCCGCTGCTTTTCGCGCTCAGTGAACACTAGTGGGACGTGTGTAGACAGTTTCCACCTGGGTGGCGTGTGTGTTGTGTTTTTCCTTGTGTACGCGGGGTGTGCGGTGGTGGGGCCTCTGGAGTAGGGCTCCTCGTTTCAGCAGCAATTGCTCTCCCAGCTTCAGCTGGGCAGGTCACTGCCTCCCTCCCGCCCCATTCTGAGTTTGCGCCTGCGTAGTTCCGCCCCCGTAGATTGAGCCCCGCCCTCGCCACGCTTTACGGTTCTGCACGCCACTTTTGCTGCAGTTGCTCGGACCGCCGCTGCTGGCTCTGCCGCCGCGGCTGCTGCCGGGGAAGTGAAGCAAGGTGAGGTGCGGTGTTGTGTTGGTGCTGCCGCCTCTCGGGACCGGGTGAAATCGGGGCTCCGCAGACTGGCGAGGGAGCCCGTCAGCAGCTGCGTTGTCTCCTCAGGTCCCGGGTTATCCGCGCTGCCGCAGGGAGGCCGCCCGGGCCCGGCGAACCGAACCAATGCTGGACCTGGAGGTGGTGCCTGAGCGCTCTCTGGGGAACGAGCAATGGGAATTCACCTTGGGTGAGTGTGGGATCCTCTCGGACCACATTCGCTGGCCCTCACTTCGCTCTGGCTCCATCCGCTTCTGGTCTGTCCCTGAAGCCCCAGTGCCCCAGGCTCCTCTTCGTCCTCTCCGGTCTTCAGGCTCTCGCTCCGCCTGTCATTCCCCGTACAGCCCAGGACGCCTTAGCCGAGGGGCTCAGCAGGGTCCCTCCTGGGGACTGGAGTAGCAGTAATTATAACAATAGCTGTCACACCCCACTTAGAGGCAGACCCTGCTCTTTTGAACGTATTTCGTTCTAGTAACCCTGGGGTCTTGAGGATCAGTAGATTCTGTTTGTTATTCCCATTTTGCAAATTACTTAATAGCTAAGAAGTGGGTAGCACCCCTAATCAACGCTCTGGTCTCTGATCTGCCTTCCTGTGGCTTTAGGGATCTGGGGGAGGGCAGCGGGACCTTATGGGTTGCCTTTTCCAAAAGAGTAGCCTAAACTCAGACCCTGTCATCAGATGATAGGGATCTAGTCAAGGCAGTTGAGCTCGTGTTTGTTTAAGGAACTTCTGACTTGTTTTCTTCTCTTTTGAAATGTAATCTTAATATGTGATGGCGTAATCATTAATGTCAGAGTTGAAAGTTGAGTGAAGTAAAAATAATACATAACTTGTAGAAAATGCAGTTTGTTTTTTAGGTTAGTTGACTCTTATGTGAACAAGAATGTTTGCATTTAATAACTACAGTGTGTTTACTTTGATGTTCCAACACTAAGAAAAGGGTGCTGTTTGTGTGAGCCTGAACTTTTGTCACTCTGATGTAAGCTACTGGACTGAGTCAGCTGCTCCTTTGGAGTGTGGCTTATTCATGAACATGGAAGACTTACGTCTATAGAGAGAACATTTGGAGAAACCTAGCTGGGCAGATTGCTGTTACAAACAGCATGCCTCCTGCTGGTTGGAGAAGCCAATCATTTTGGTCTTACCCCTCTCTCTTAGCTCTTAGACTACTCCCTCAGAGTTCTTCTTGAAATTGAATCTGCTAAGAAAATGCTCTGTTCATCCTCTTGTGAAGCTCCAAGAGTTTGATTGAAAGGCCAGTGATATCATGCAAATGCTGTTTGACTTCTAATTAACATCTTTTCCCCTCCTCCCCTTGACAACTCCTACATACACACCTGAACCTCCCAGGACTGGTTTTTAAAAGCCACAGCCATAACTTCAAACTGCTTGATGATAAAACTAGACTGTGCATCTCTTTGTGGTACACATTTAGTCAAATGTCATGAGTAGATCGGTTGAAATCAGGATTTCCAGAAAACTTGCCATTGTTTTGACAACCAAAACCTAAGGCCTGCTGCTGGCTTCTGGAAACCATGAGTTTGGGTAGTTCTTTGAAACTGTTGTAGTAGCAGCAACCAGAAACAGAGGGACATACTTGCTCACTGGATTCAGATCACTGGATTCAGAGATGAACTTTGTTGGAAAGTTCATAGAGGGGACCTGACTCTTGAGGATTACTGTAGGTCTCAAGATCTGCATTTTGTTTATTTTTGTTTTTCAGTGTTCCCCACACACACCCTTGGAGACTAGATCACTTGCATAGATTGGCTTCACACTCCCTATGTGGTTGAAGGTGGCCTTGAACTTCTGATCCTCTTGTCAAACACCCCCCCACCCCCCACCCCCACTAGGATTACAGATTATCTGCCACCATACCACATGCAATACTGGAGCTCAAACTCAGTGGCTGGCATTCTACCAACTGAGCTACATCCTCAGTCTGTTTTTGTTGTTGTTGTTTGTTTGTCTGAGGCTAGCCTTGGACTTTTGATCATCTCCCAGGTGCTGGGGTTACAAGAGTGTACTACCATATCTATCTAAAATCTGCTTCTTAAAAAAAAATTTATTATTTTTATTTTATGTATATAAGTGTATTGCCTGCATGTATGTAAGTGCACCCGTGTCGTGCAGTGCTGCGGAGGTCAGAAGAGGGCTTCATATACCCCTGGAACTGGAGTTGAGGATGGTTCATAGCTGCCATGTGGGTGCTAGGAATCGAACCCAGGTCCTTTGCAAGAGCAGTCAGTGCTCTTAACCGCTGAGCCATCTCTCCAGCCCTAAAATCTGCATTTTCATTTTATCCAAATCTTTACATTTGTTTATTGGAGGGAGGAACATGTGCCATGGTGCATGTGTGGAGGTCAGAGGACAAATTGCAGGGAGTTAGTTGGTTCTCTCCTACCATGTGAATGAGTCTAGAAGATCAAACTGAGACCATCAGGCTTGGCTACCATACCTTTCTTCAGGCCCTAAAATCTACAGTTTTAAATGTTATAAGTCAATTTTCTCTTCTCTCAATCTTGCTCCCTAATCCCAACACATCTAAATTGCAGTTGGGGCTGTTATGTGGAGATACGTATGGGA